TATATATATATATATAAAAGATTACAAATTATCCAATCTATATGCCTTAGTTGGGGTGCAACACTACTTTAAATTATTAACCCTATGTGAAATTGTAATCATTAGTTGTGACAGGTTGTAATGTAGGTTTAGACTTTGTCTAAGCAAAACCAGTCCTTTAATTTATAGTAACCACAAATTATTAATTTGTAGGGACCAGACTAAGGATGGCATCTCTTTGAAATAGTTTAACAATGAGCCAGAGAACAGCTCTACAGCAATCAACTTGGTCACAATCTATTCCTAATTGAAAGGATAATGTTGCTAGGGTTATTAGCTGATGAGTTAATTACCCATTGCTATTGAGGGAGCGATTACATTGGAGAACTTTCTTAGTTAAACTGGGAGCAGATAATCTCAGAGGTGCAAGAAATGTAGAGCCTTTTAAGCTAATCTCATTTTTAATTTTGTTGCATTCCAATTGAAAAACGGATAACAATACAAAATTTGATCAGGAATCGATCTCAAAATATCAACATCGAATCACCACGTAAACACACATTAGTTTATAATACGGATCGTATTCAGTCAAACATTTAAAAACATGTAAATTATAATATACACACAAATATCATAATCAACTTAAGTCTGTAACAAATAATTCTAAATATTAACATACCCAATTGGCACCAAACTACAAATATTTTAGTTTTAGTCATCGTTGTTTTGACAAGAATGTCTGGCATATTAATTTACTTTTCTCAACATGTTTTAAAAGAAAATACCTCTAATTACATGATATATCATATCAATTTGTGGAAGTAATTTTCGTAATGTCCAAGATTTGTTCAACTATTTAGTACTTGATAAATAACTATAATTGAATCAAATTTAATAATTAATAATTTCTCTTCAGATCACTTAAAATTACAAAATATTTCACTATAGAAAAAAGTTGAAAGTTTTGCTATTGTAAAGTTGAGAGTGAGAGAGGGATAGATTATAGCCAGGGAAAAGCCAAAGGGTGGGTGGGAAATGCTCTGGTCCTCCACTCTTGAGAAGTTCATATACGGAGGTATCCTTTCTTTCTTTCTCATCTTAATAAAGACACGACTACTTTTTGACTATTGACCATTGCAAGCGCTTACAAACAACATGGCCCCCTCTTTCCCCATGAAAGTCTACTATGTGGTAAACAATTTTCTGACTTGGAAAAGTCTTTCTATCCATGGAAAACTTGGGGACAAAGGTTTAGTTGGCATACACATTAATTTGTTATTGTTGGACAATCTTCAATGCAAGGCTTCTATCAGCTAACTTTAGTTGGCAAACCCATTAACTGTAAAGGCTATAACTTCAATTACTAGAACGAATAAAATGTTTTATAGAATAAGGAGTTAAAACAGTCTATGATTCATGTTCACTTGCTGCACCTGGTTGCCTTGCTTCAACTTCTTCTTCAAATGCATTAATTAAACATAGCTAAATTTCTATCAGGATTTCATTATGGATGATTAGTTATTTTCTGGTAATTCTTGATGTTTTTCCTTTATTGATTACCAGGTCAGTTTACATTGTTTACACAGTGCTGGGAGATGTCAGCATTTTACATTGCTGGCAAGGATGAGTACAATGAACTTGCTTGTGAGTTTTTAGTAACATCCCGGATTTGTTCTGCCAGTGCATGCATGTAAGCCTGTTGGCAGACCAAAAATGGGATTAACTCAACTGGAAATAGATTTTAAAAGTTGTACATGTTTGATTTCTTACAACCGGTTTGTACCCTGGTACCAGCTTTGAACCCTAACTATGTTTGAACAATCTTTTGCTTTAATCCTTACTTATTCCAGAGCTCGATCTGAACATGTTTTTGCCTGTCAAGGGAATTCTGGAAAACACAGACAAAGATAGGATCAAAAGGCTGACAGGGTTAAAGCCTCCAACAGAGATTTGAACTCTGTTTTTGGTGAAATAGAGTGCCTGCTTCCTGCCATCATCCATGATTAGCAGATGGAGTAATCTCCTTCAGCAAATGGGAAATAGAATGCATTACACTTCCATTTGTCAGAAGTTTGATTGATAAACTTAATTCGACAGACCTTGTGAAATTGTTTAAAGAGTGATAAAGACTGTTTTATTAGCTAAAAGTTGTCACCTATGGCATAAAGAAATATAGACATGGTCAAAAGTAGGTTCCGATGGTTGAATTGTTTACTACTCATTTTCCTTGCTATCTGTATCACCCTTTTCCTAGCAACGAATCACCACTTATTCTCATATCCAAAACTGTTTATTAATCAAAAAGAAAAAAAAAATAACTTGGGTCCAAATATAAATCTCTCCAAATGCTTCAGATGGAATGTCACAGCCGTGTCTCGGGATCAGTAAACATAGCAGCACTGTCTGAAAATAGTAGGTATTTAATTTCCCATAAATTGGTAAGGTTCAGGGCAATTTCCCTATTCAAAGTGAACCAAGGCAACAAATCAGGAGTCAGTTGGCTAAGACTTTATGGCACATAGTTTAGTTTTCTTAAATGTAAAGGCTAAGCAGCCCTGCAGTCTCCTTCCATAGGCAGAGTCACAAAGATACTAGAGAAGACAAGGTAGGGTTGGGACAAACTTCTTCTAAACTCTCCAAGGTAATAAGCTTGGTGTAAGTGCAACTGAAGCCAACAGAAAGGCCAATGGTTCAGCTAGGCAACCTCTTCATTCATAGCCCTTGAAAGACCTTAAATTAAATGACTACCCTTCTTATGAACCTGTGAGCTACATTGTAAGTTCAAATCTAGGTCACCACCAAATCAAAATGTCCATGACGTTAGCATGGCCAAGAAAATAGTCAATAGCCTGCAAGGACCATTTAACAAAAGATTCTGGACTGCTCAACCAATTTCCGGTTATTCATCTCATACAAGACAAACCAACCAATCTTGCATTGGACCATCTATGCCTAGACTGAAGAACTCATTTAAAAGGACGAATACAATAAAATTCCTTGTTTATAAAGCATCTGGAGGACCAGTGATAAATAAAATAAATGAATTCACAAGAAAAATAAATTTAAGTGAGTTGAAAGGCTAAACATCTATACCATGCAAAATACAGAAATAAAGGGAAAAAATTTGGACCATGAGATAACCAAGCTCCAGCATGTTAGTGGTGCTCTACCGGCCTTAACATAATTCAGACCATCCAAAATAACATGCTATTCCACTTGATGAATCAATTTCACAATCTAATATTCAAGCAAAGCAAGAAAATTCAACAACATTATTACATAATCAAACTTCCAAACAACGCATGGAAATCTTCTTGAAAATATCAAAATAGGTCATAGCAATGACAGGTAACAATCCAGACAGCAAAAAATATACATAAGAAATTGACATTGCAACTTATCTTTCAACAATGGCAGAGTGGCCTTGCCACCTAGTAGTCTGATCCAGCAAAAGAATTTACTGCCAAAACAGTCAAATGCTGGGTCATATTTTATCAGCTAGGTACTTTACGAGAGAGTTGACAGGCTTAGAAAAGTCAACATTTCCTGTTCCCTGGCTCCTAATTTTGATTCGAGCAAGGTAATCAGCTGCAATCCAAGCAAAACTCAACATCACTACAGGGTCAGCATCATCAGACTTCTGCAACTCTAACTTCTTCTCTACCCATTTAGGATGGTAAGTGACCTGGTACCACGCTGATGCCTTTCTTTCATACAATTCATTCCTCTCATCCTCATTAAGTTGCTCAATTTCCGAGTCCATACTCTCAAAAATTTGCCTGAATTCTTTCCTCAGGGCACCATAAGAATGACCGAGCTTCTCCTTCAAATCCCCTAACTTCCTACTGGTGTATTTGGGCATTGACCAGATGTGCCCAGTTACTACCTCTTCTTCCCTCTTAACTTTGTATTGTCCAAGAAGTCCAATCAACTGCCCATCATAGGAGCACTTTTTAACCCATGCATCATCAATGTAGTCAGCAGACCCTGTAATCTCAAGATCTGTATCATAATTGATGTCAGGAGCTTCAAGATTGATCTTGGAAGATTCAGAGAGATCTTCATCATATGCATCTTTGATATGACGATATAGTCTTCCCAAAATTTTTCTTGATTTGTATGACTGGTACTCCTCTTTACCCATAAAATCAGGGTAAAGTTTTGGTTTTAAATTAGCAGGCATTGACACAATCCTCCCAGTTTTAGGAAAATCAACAGCTGTAGCCGCTAACTCTGCAAGATGTATACATTTCTCATCTAGAGCACCATATTCACTAAGATCAGCATGAACCACATGCGCATTGCAAATAGTCCCCAGGTGCTCATTCACCATGTTTTTTGCAAAAAAATCTATTATGTCCTGTAAAATAAAACAGTCAAAAGATTTTGTCTTTCACCTACTTGGAATTTAAAATAGTTCAGTAATCAGAATACAAATCCTAAACTGATATATTTTACACAGAAATATATCTACTTTATTCCAAAAATTTAACTCCACTTTCTTCCATTTCAAGATTTTGTCTTTTGCACACTTGGAATTCAAATTACGGTATTCATCATGACACAAATCCAAAACTCACTTGCCCTGTTTTTGTGATATATTATACTCTAGAATTTATTTGTGTTATTGCCACATTTTTGCTCATTTTTCCCGAAGGAAATTATAGTAACTCAAAGATTTACAACAAAATAAACCATTTCATAAACGGTCAGTGCCTTCCTAATAGATCAATACCTAACAACATAGTGCCATTTAAGCAATAAAGACTAAGCTGGTTATTCAACCACAAAAGAACAATAACATAGCAACATATAGTTATGTGCTCAACCACGTATGTCTTCAATTGCAACATGCTTTTTGATACTAGCTTTCAAGCAGCATACTAGAAAACAATATTGTTTGTAGTAACAAATAGAGAATTTTATTCAGGAGTACTAGTATTTTGTATACTGTAAAGAAGGGAAATAAACGAAAAACAATTGTGGAAACCCAGAGGTTCATAAAAGTTCAGTGATAATAACAAAATACAACAAACAATTACCTTATGATTGACTTCGCGTTGCAGCTGTTTAGGCTCACCAGGGTCATACTGCATGGGTGGCCAGCTCTTCTTCCCAGGGGGGATAAGAAGATCTTCCCATGTGACAAAATAAAGGTCCCCATCAAGATCACTCCCAGAAGCTTCATTTGTATGGGGTCTCTCACCCTTTTGAGGGAAGACCAGACAGTCGTACAAATGGTGTAAACCAGGGGCATCTACTGCTTCTAGAATCCGTATATCTCCAGGGTGAAGACAAGGATTCTTAGCTATAACCACCAACCCTTGAATTACTTCAAAATTTTTCTTTGTTTCAGCAAACCTAGAGCCATGTTTCAAGAAGCAGTTTTCTACAGAAGGATTGGCTACTTGGATAAAGCACTGACCTTGTTCAAGTACTCCTAGTTCATCGAAGACACCCATCAACCACCTTCCTGAGGGAACAAAAATCCTAGCTTTTTCCCTAAGACCTGAAAGCTGAGATGCTCTTACACAAGTCAAGATTCCTCGTAAATGAGGCTCTATTTGAGGCTTGAAACCTGCACTCAGCATTATTGCTGCAGTATTCCCTTGCTCAGCACATGAAGAAGTGAGAACTTCAAATGCTGCATCAGCGTCCACAAGGATTTTGTTTAACTTAGAAACCATGGTATTTTGCATTTCCCAAAATACATCATCTGGCACGTGCAATGTAGAAAGCAATGTAATAATTTGTCTATTCAGGAAGCCAGGCTGAAATCTTGTCCAAGAACAGATTTCCAATGTTGTATGGTTAGAACAGAACTTATTCATACTGGGCCGTAAAGAAAGACGGACCCCATCACCTTCTTCTGGCCAACAAGCCACGACCCCTTTACAACCAGCATATCTAATTTGATAAGCACAAGGAGGATTCAGGTCTAGCTTCAATTTCTGAGCAACTTCCATTGCAAGATCAGGAGTGATCTTGCCAATCCCGTCTGAGAACAAATATCCATTCCTCTCTATATCTGGAAGGCAAGGGTCAACCTCTGTTGAAGGAACTTCAACTGTTGCATATGTTGATGAGAAGCACTGACCCATCCTGGCAGCACATTTAGCAATATTTCGGTTTGTAAACTTCCCCATCCACCTTAGAATTTGAAGCACACTTGTCTTTCCATCTTCAGCAAAAAACCATGCGGACCTGTCTCTCAATTGATTGGCTGAGAAAGCAAGGAAAGAGTATTTGCGACCACACAAATAAAACCCATCTGTTAGAATAGACCTTACCCTTTTGAACACTCCCGTTTTCTGAGAAAAGGAGGTTGATGTCACATCCCTCACAATTGAAGCAGCATAGTAAGTGAGCACATTTGCATTGATTGTCTGCATGCCTTCATCCATAAATGTAACCCTTAAAAACCGATCAGCGACTTCTTTATATTTCCTGAGAACTCTATTAGAAAGCTCAACCTCTGGAAGAAGACAATAAGCTTTGGTTGGAGTAATAACCAATCTTCTGATTTCAACAATATCATCCAACTGCTTAGGGCTCTTAAAAAGTTTAGGATTCCTCAGCAGCCAATCATGGACAGTTTTCAGCCTCTTATAGGCATCAAAAACTGGACGCCTGTAGGAATAGATGTGCTTTAGCGCAGCCACATTGACCTCCCTTGGTTGGTCTCTCAGGAGGTTAAAGAAGTCCTCTGATAGCTGATGTTGATAGAATATGCCTTTGTGCATTACAGCATTCACCAAAAACATTATTTCAAAGGGAATCCCCTCCTTGTAATTGATACAATAAAAGGGATCTGACATGGACATCCCAAAATCAGGTTCATCTCTGATCCTAAGCGGCCATCTGACATAGTCTGGGGGTACCCTTTGTTCTCTGAGATAATCCAAGGCCTTCTTCAACTTTGCACCATGACGAGGACGGATTACAACTCTGTATGTATTACACCGACCAATGGCCCCACTAGGGGTAAAATCTGTGGTCCTGATCCACTGATCATCATCATCCAACAGATCAAATGGAACCGATTCTTCAATCTCATCATCAGCAGTTCTATACCAGACCCAAGGTGAAGAAGCCAGCTGCAAGAACACTACTAAACCTGATGGCTCTGTGTATTGCTTAATCTCATTAATGTCTCTCACCAAGAACTCCACCTTAAAGTCACATTTTATCACCGCATACTCAGTTGTGCCTTTGAAAGAGAAGGCTGTATCTCTAGAGAAACAAAATTTGCAGGTGCCATCAAAAGGATCCACAAGAAAATCAACCCCAAAAGGAGGTCCTCTCCAGCCAACAAAGAACTCATCTTGGCTAACCATGCCTCCAATATCCAGGCAGACATCAGATAACTTAAAGGGCGTTGTATTCCTCCTCCTACGATTCAAGTAATATGGATTTTCAGGCCCCAAACTAACCTTCAAAAGCTGATTGTTGAAAACAAGCTCAGTACGACCTGCAGCATCTACAGCCCAAGTTACTGTTAGAGGGGAGGCAAAATGAACAAATGCATGGGGTTCCACCTTCTTATAGTCATCTGTTCTTTGGATAACTGTACTGTCAAGAATCTCAAAGTTGGGATAGGACTCCGGTGGCGTCCATGAAGTCTTCAATCTACACCTCCAAACAACTCCAACTTCATTGTCCAAGTACTCCATGAGATCTTTGGCTGTAACATGTCTTCCAAATCCACCAACACTAACTTGCGTCACCACAGTGTCCTTTTCACTTCCTTTTGATTCCATATTCTTCAGAAAATTAACCACTTCAGATTAATACCCAGCAAATTCCTGAAACAAAACCCAACACAACATATTCATGAAAGACATGATGAGTAGATAAGAACACACATTTGTAGGAATACATCCATATTTATTAATTAAAAATTCACATTTTAATTTTGTTTTTCACCTTAAACAACTAGTCAGAATAACATTAACATACTAACCAAAAATACAGGGTAAATTTCTTTTATGTTATGGTTTACTTTATGACTACATGCCTTTTGAAGAAACACATTATGACTACATGCCTGCTGAAAAGATAACAATGAAAAAAAAATACTAATTAGTATAAATACTACCCTGCATTCGCTTCTCAAAAGCATTTCTCTAGGAGGAAAAATTACAGACATATCAAGTTGCTATTAATAACCCATGGAATTAAAACCATCAATGTGCCTAGTAGTAATAAAAGAACCAAAAAAAAGGGTAAGTGGGGCTTCAGAGTTCAGACCAGAAAATCTATTAAATGTATCACTATCAAGTTGACCTGAGAAACAAAGTAAGCACAGCCATTTGGGTTTCACAGGTTAGAGCTTTGCACTTTCAGAACAGAAGAAACAGAATATAACATGACAATTGAAACTTTGAAAAGCATATTCTTCAAGTTTTCAGAACAGTTTGGAGGACTGTTTATAACAAAGAGCAATGATTTACCTTTATTCTTAAGCTCCTGTTAAAAATTAAAAATGAAAAACTTCATCTTATAACTTTATAGACCTCATCTTCTGCTTTTTCCCTTGAATTGCATTTATTCTTCAAGGATACACACTTAAATTTACAAAATATACCAATTGATGCAAAACAGAATTCATTTCAATTATCACTTGTAGTACGATATTCGGTACGATATTCATTTATAACAATAAAATTTTGCAATACCCAAATCCCATTTCCCATTTTTTCATTTTTCTTATGAACCCTCCACATTCTCAGCAACCAAACGAAATGATCATTGAAGATAAGAAACCAAACGAAGTTAAACTTGAAAAAAAACAAAGAAAAAACAAAATGGGTTGTAAGAAAAAGCTACTAACCTTGAGAGTTCTGCGTTGAGGCAACAAAAGAAGCAACCTTGAACGCGTTTGTAGAGCAAGAAAAAGAGAAAACAAACTTTGTGTGAGTTTAGGAAGAGAACTGAGAGTAAGAGGGAAAGACCCAAACTCAAATAAGTGTGCTTTTATCGTGATCTTTTCTAGTACTTCTCGAAGAAGTAGTTCGAGAGAGAGAGAACTTCTTGCTGTGTAAGTTACTTTTTTTTCCCGCTATTGCTTTTTCTGCCTTTGCTTTGATAGTTCTTTTCATATTCTCTTTCATCTCTGATTCCAGGTTCTGATCAATGGAGGTTTGAAAAAATTCCCACTTGCAGGCATTCCTTCTCCTGGAAAATGCCTTGCAGAGAGCGAAACCTCCCATTTCCACCATTAATAGGCTTAGAAAAAGAAGTTTTTTAATTTTTTATTATGTTTAATTAAAATTTTTAATTTATATTAATAAATATTTATAACTAATTACCCTAATAACATATTATGTTCATATTATGATGATATGTAAGTTTAAAATATCTTGTCACATTTAATAAATAATATTTTGATTAATAATTGAAGTTAATTTAATATAAAATAAAAATATAAAAATTTAAACAAAAATAGTACAAAATTATTAAAATTTTATTAAATAATTTTGAAATTTTTTAAAATACTATTCTAAAAGAATGTCTTTTTAATTTTAATTAATAGTATTTGAAAGTACAAACAATATAATTAAAAAAAATTATAAATGCAATCTATGATGCTAACTTTATATAAATTAATTATTATAATGGTTGAATTATGATGGAAGGAGTTTAAAAAATTACCAACTATTGTTGATGGGCAGATCTTCTTGTACTTGATTTGACAATAAGCAATGAATGATAAGCACAAAAACTTGGGTGCTAAGTTGCTCTATTTTTGTATTTATTAAAAATTATATTTTTATTTATTAAAAATTACAAAGTTATTTTTATATAATATTTAAAAAAATTATTAAATTATTTAATAAATTTTAATAAAATTTTATTCTTTTAATACATTCAATCAAAATTTTATATTTTTAAATTAAATAAAATTATTTATTATTTATTAAAATTTTATTTATATTTTTATATCACATAAAGTAAAAATATCTCCTGTTAATATTATTATGTTATTTTATTATTTATCATAAGATAAAATACCTCACCTCTAAAGTTTAATCAAATTTTCAAACGAATTCATTAATTTTTAAAATAAACATTTCATCTCAAAATATAAACATCATTAATAGAGATTATAAAAAAATTAATTTATTTTTTATTAATTTAAAAAATTATTATTATATTTTTAAAAATTAAAAAAAAAATCTTTAGCTCGATGCTCACCAATCAAGGATGCTCCCTTGGGGAGCTCAATCGGAACTCCTCATTTTGAGAGTTTTTTTAAAAAAATTAATAAAAATTTAATAAAATTATATAATTATAATTTTAAAAATTAATTAAAAATAAATTTTTTTATTTTTATCACATCATCAAATTGATAAAAACATTGACAATTGGATTTACATATTCAAAAAAAATATTTTTTAAGTATATTGTTTATTTTAAAAATTAATCAATTTTTATCTAATTTCAATCAAAATTTAAAAATAAAAATATTTTATTTTTTATTACAATATATTAACATCATGCCATGTTGATATCTTAATTGACATAATAAAAAATAAAAATTTATTTAAAAATTTTTAAAATAAATTAATATTTTTGTAAAAATAATTAAAAGAAAATAGTGTTATAATATTTTAATAGATAACTTAGTTGACAAGTCCAAAAACATGAAAAAAATGCCATACGCGATTTTTGCACTTCGCACAATCCAATGGCACAAAATTTTCATGAAACCATTAGTGACGACAGCAAAATGTCACCAATTATCACATGGAGAATATTCTAACAGCGATTGCTCCCAAAAGTCGACAATGTTAATTAAACAAAGAAGCCATGGTGGATCACCCTTTTTCCCTTACCCACTTCTTTTATTTTATAAGCATTCAAAAACAAAAAAATTGTCACCAAAATTTAACAATTTATCTAGTTTGATTTTTTAAAATACTATATAAAAAATATTAATATAATATTTAAAAAATTTCAATTATTTTAAAAAATTTAAATAAGTTTTTATTTTTATTAAATCTTATATTATTATTTTAAATTAAATAAATCTCTATTATTAATTAATAAATTTTTTAGTGTTGAAGTTGTTGTTTTTTTTTTTTTTAATTTTCGCCTTTGCTTCTTTCACGGCATTAATAGTCAAAAAGCTAAGGTAGACACGAACAGATAACAATAAACCTGCTTCAACATCTCGGAAATTTACAAGTGAAAGGCAGAATGAAACCAAAGATTCCAAAGAATAATTCAAATCAATTTAATTAGGAAACAATTGTAAAGAAATTTAATCGAAATTTCCTATTGTTTGGACCAATTTTTTTTATATATAATTATTCCATTGTAAAGGCCATAGTAGGCTTGTTTAAAGGATCCACACTTTCGAGCTTCTTGCCATTGTCCTTTTTCGCCTCTAATTCTTCCTCATTTGTTCTTCATTATTCTAAACAACCCAGTAGAGGTTTTGAAGATACTCTCATGGAGGCCAATCTTGATCTTTCAATGACTTTTGATTCTTCAAACGCCACTGTATTGCATACTGCTGCGTCACAAGGGCACACTGAAGTGGTGAATTTCCTCTTGGAAAAGGACAGCAGCGTGGCCGCCATAGCAAGCCGAAATGGGAAAACCGCCTTGCATTCGGCAGCAAAGAATGGGCATCTAGAGATAGTAAAGGCCCTTTTATCTAAAGAACCTGGAATCGCAACGAGAATTGACAAGAAGGGCCAGACAGCTCTACATATGGTGGCTAAAGGGCAGAACGTTGAAGTGGTAGATGAGCTGATAAAGTCGGATCATTGTTTAATAAACATGGTTGATTCTAGGGGCAACACTGCTTTGCATATAGGAACTCGAAAGGGTCGGATTCAGGTAGTTAACTCATAGTGTCTTATTGCAAGTACTGAAATGGTTTTTCGTTCTGGATATGCTTTAGAATAAGCTCTAAAACTTTAGTTCCTGATATGATGGGTTCTAGGTATTCCTTTTGCAACAAATAACTAACCAAAAGTTGCTGATAGAATAGTAACTTTCTCATATAAAGTTGGCAAATTAAGTCTGTGACCCCGTCTAATCACCAGTGCATTCTTTCAGATTGTTCAAAAGCTGCTAAACCACAGTGGAGATCACAAACTAGTCATCAACAAGTTTGGGGAAACGGCTCTTGACACTGCAGAGATATATAAGCTATCTGATATTGCAGGCATCTTAAGAAACCATGGAGTTCAGTGTGCCAAATTCATCGAGCCACAACCTACAAATTCGGCTCGAGAACTAAATAAAACTCTAAGTGATAAAAGGAATGAGGTTTATCAACAGCTTCTGCGTACACGCCAAACAAGAAAACGCGTGCGAGATGTTGCTAAGAAGCTTAACAGAATGGAAGTTGATGGTCTCAATAATGCAATCAACTCCACTACAGTGGTGGCGGTTGTCATTGCCACAGCTACATTCGCTGCCATTTTCAATATCCCAGGCCATTATGCTGACAGTCCTGAAGATATTACACCGTTTATGATTTTTATTGTCTCTGACTCCGTTGCCCTCTTCATATCATTGGGTGTTGTGTTAGTGCAAACCTCAGCTGCAGTTATAGAGAGACAGGCAAACAAGCAGATGATGGCAGTTATTAATAAGCTCCTGTGCTTGGCATGCGTGCTGGTTTCAGTTGCATTTCTTGGCCTCTCGTATATTGTAGTTCGAGAAGATGAGAGATGGTTAGCGAATGTTATTACTGGTATAGGGACTGCTATCATGGTATCAACATTGGGGATATTGTGCATCGTATTGAGGATTCAGAAGCTCGCGTCATCTGGAGGTCTGCAACCACAGGTGGATCATCATACACCGACTGACAAAGATATTCTGAATGATGAGGATTTTGAGATAATCGATGCAGTTTGAGCTTTGATGCGCCTTATATGGTTCTCCACACCGACCCGCAAGCTTTGTCACCTGGTAAAATGATCATGCTGCTTTGTGTTATGACAGCTAGGTCAACGTCAGATATGCTCCGATGCATGTTTAGAGTTGACGTTTAAGTTCTATTAGACACCTCATCTTGTTCCAATCTTGTCTAATTGTTCTTTCTATATTTATTAAATAAAAAATAAAAATTTATTTAAATTGTTTTAAATAATTAAAAAATGTTAGTGAACGACAATTTTCTACCTTTACCTGTAACTGTAAAAGGAGCCAAAGCTCAACGGTCACACCGAGAGAAAAAAAGGGATGGGGAAAAAAGAGACCCGAAAAGGAATAAAAGCCGAAAGATATCCTCCAAGAAACAGATAGTATATTCCCATTTTCTTCTGCAACGAATATTCTCTAAACAGCAAAAAGGAAACAATATTCCGTCTTCTTTCTTCTTTCTTATCTCTATAATAATATCAGTTTGGTCAGATTACAGAAAAAGAAGAAAAGGGTAATCGTGATCTTGATCTGGGTGAGTGCGGGGAGCATGAAGTTTTGGAAGAGTTTAAGCATATTGATCGAAGAAGCGTTGCCCGATTGGAGGGATCAGTTTTTGTCCTACAAGGATTTGAAGAAGCACTTGAAGTTGATATACCCGAAAGATGGGAGCGAGAAGCAGGTTAGTAAACGGCCCAGGTTGGATTCGACGGACGGTGGGGATGGTGGGTCTAAGGAGGAGAGCGAGGTCCCTAAGGAGGTGATGGATTTCGTTTTGTTGTTGGAAGAGGAGATTGAGAAGTTTAATGCTTTTTTCATTGAAAAAGAAGAGGATTATGTTATCAAGTGGAGGGTAATTTCTTTTCTTTCCTTATTTTTTTTTATTTATATGCATTTTTTTTTGAATTGAATTTGGTGTTTTGGAAATTTTCATGAGTTATTATGGTATTAAATTGTTGGTAAAGAAAAGGGTTTGCCTTTTTTTATTCTTATGTTGTTTAAAGAGGATCATATTGAAACTTTGTGGTGAATTTATTGATGGGTTTGTTGAAGTTTTGAAGTTAATGAAGTAAAAATGAATCTTTTCCCCCTTTTTTGTGCTAGTGTTTTGTTTATTGCGAAAATCCAGAAAGCTTTATCTATGGAATTCTCTGCTGAACTGCCTCTTTCATGGTGATGCCAATATCCCCTTCAAAAAAGTTGGCAGTTTTCTTAATGCCAGAAGAAATTCGGGGTGAAAGACAAATATGTTTTTGGTTCCTTTCGAATGTTGCTTTTGAGTCTTTAACCGATTAAGATTCCCTCACACTCTGGAGTTCATTGATATTTGAGTCTCTGAGGTCCACACCATTTCAGCCTTTTGCCTTTTGGGAAATGTAGCATGTTTTTGTTTTTCCTATAATTTTTTTTGTTCTTCTCACATGATTGATGGTAAAGGCATCCATCCCCTTGTTGAAAGTTTTGAACTATCTTCTTTGTGGTTTTTCTCCATGGTTTTTGGCATTGCTTTTTGTGCAACGTGTTTAATGCTCTGAATTGTATGTTTTTTCCTTGTGACTTATATGCAGGAACTGCAAGATAGAGCAGCGAAGGCCAAAGTATCAAAGGAGGAGTTAATGAAAGTGGGGAGGGAGATAGTAGATTTTCATGGAGAGATGGTTTTGTTGGAGAATTACAGTGCCCTTAACTATACAGGTACTAATCTGTTTTTCATGGTTTTATGTATGCCCATTTTATTAGTGACTGACTGAAATAAGCATGGCCAAAAGCCCAAAACTAATTCATGTTCTGATCTCAGCGATATTTTTATGTTTTTCACAAATTTTGAGAATGTTATTTGTGGCATTGTTAAAGTTTTATCAGCAATTAGCAGTTTTTGTGCGATGCTAATATTAGCTATGCAGATGTAAAAATAGACAGACTTGATGGGTTATATGGTCTAATAGAAGATAGGATGTCCTTGTAGCTACGTCGATTTAGTTGCTGTCGCTTGTGTTTAGTTCATTTCTTTATTGGGTGACTTGATCTCTTAAATGTTCATATGAAAAGAGTACTCGAATTATAAAGTGGAAAATTTTGTTTGAAAGAACTTTGCACAAAGTTCATTCAATAAAACATGAATGCTTATGCCTTATTTGACCTTTTCAAAAAGATTTGGAATATATTAGTAATTATACTACTCATCTTTTCTAGTTCCTTGATAATATATATTTAACAAACAGGAGGAGAGAGGTTGAGACAGCAAAGTTGTTAGTAGACTGCGTTCTTCTGGGTTGTGTGAATATAAATACTTGGCACCAAGTGGATGATTTGAACTTTTAACTGAGTCCTTATATCTTGTTTACAGTTTTGAAAAGTAGAAAGTTTTTAACCTATATGTTGTACACAGGACTACTGAAGATAATAAAGAAATATGACAAGCGAAGTGGTGCTCTTGTTCGCCTGCCCTTCATTCGAAAGGTCTTGCAACAACCATTCTACAGGACTGATGTTCTTAACCAGCTTGTGAAGGAGTGCGAGATGGTGCTTGATCATCTTTTCTCCATGAATGAACCATCAACCTCGCCTGAAGCAACTGACAAGAAAGTGACCAGTGAGAAAGAATGTGAATCCAAAACTTCTACCAGAAGTACTGAAAGGCTGCTCAATGTTCCAAAAGAACTTGCAGAAATTAAGAATATGAAGAGCATGTATATGAAGCTTACTTTGTCAGCTCTACGTGTTTTGAAAGAGATCCGGAGTGGAAGCTCAACTGTGAGCATGTTCTCATTGCCACCTTTGCAAAATCATGCATTAGAGGATTGGAAGAAAATTCCTGTGTTAGAACAGGCAGCCAAATAAGTTTCTCACCTTGTTGTTATGAGGGTGGCCCAACTTGGAACAACTTCTCCCTCTTTCGCTTTCCCTCATCATTTTCATTTTCCTTTGTTTTTATTCTTGTATTTTATACCTATACTTCTGCTAGAAACTGACCACGCTTTTGTATCCTAAATCCAATTCTCATTGGAACTTGTTTGACTTTTTCCTGTAGACAATTTTAAAGACGGGAACATCTGGTTTTGATCTTTCAGGTATAGTGATCATAGTTTTAGTGTGAAACATGTTTGGTTGCAGTTACACCTTTAAATTACTAGAGTTCCTCATGTATCTATTCTTTGCACGATACCATCAGTTCTTGTTGGGGTCCTTTGCCACTGTGTACCGGGTTGCTTGGCTAAGCAGTGGTATTCTGTTGCAATCTCTGCAAATTGTATGATTTCATCATAGAGGCGTTCAGATACTGAATGTTCTTTAAATTTTTACCTTAACCTTTCCGATCTCTGCATCATCATCTGTAGGTGTTGTTAATAGAGGCCATGCCAACATGTTTTGCTTCCTACATCGGTGTGGGGGTCATTGTCGGCAGAGAACATATCTATCCAGTAACATTTGAGAAGAAATTCAACTAGTTCATCAGGAGCGCCTGTAGCTCAGTGGATAGAGCGTCTGTTTCCTAAGCAGAAAGTCGTAG